ATATTTATAAAAGCCAAATCCAAAGTTCAAGAAATAAAGACAAAGATATAAATACTTATCTGGAATGATTCCTGAAACACTCCTTTAAAGTTCTCTGATTTCTCTGACTCTAACGACACTTACAGGACTCACAAACTCCAGAAATCACTAAGACTCAAAGAAAACTACTAATACACTTAACACACTCACACACTATGAGACTCTATATATCCGACCCTCTTAGCCTCTTGGAATTAATCCCTATTTATAGAGCTTCGAAAATGACCAAGGGTTGTGTTAAGATGGGTTCAAGTGAGGGGAATCAAACATATACTTAAAAAATCTCTAGGATTTGTCCCCTCTTTAGCTAGATCGAGGATGGATTCCCCATCACTCTGGATGACTCGTTGGCTCTCTTTTCCTTATATGAATACTGGGAGATTTCATGACCAATCCTAGAGGGATTAAAGGCGATGCTAAAAAAGCCCATATTAAAACCACCTGAATGACTTGGAGGGTAGAATCTTTGTGCAATTCATATAAGCAGGATTGAAGGCTTTTAATTTATATACTTCCCATTCTCATTCTGTTTCTCTTCATCTCCAACTTACCCCTTTTTTTCTCTTTGTGTAGCCAATGGAAGGTTCACCAAATATCTAATAATCCAATAAAGCTAAGGCTAGTCACGATGACATGTGATAAGACTCCAAACAATGATTATCTCCTATCAACCCGAAAATTCGGAATATTAAGTCAACTATAAACTGTTGGACAGAAATTTATATACTCTTAGTCAATAATAATAGTATGTTAAATTTTTATAGACTTTCTTATGATATTATCATTCATTATATCAAAATGGAAATAATCTATAAAGTTCAATTACAACCATTCTACTATTGATTGTGAACCACTCAAATTATAGAAATGCTGTACGCTTCGTGGTTCCACAACGATAATATGCAAAATCTCTTCTTTCACGTTTACTGCTTTAGAATCTATCATTTAAATATTAGTTTCTAATAATTTTAAGTCACCCACAAAATTAATATCAAAGAACTTTAAAAACATGTCTTTTTGTCAAAATTTAAGAACTTTTATTACATATTTCATTAATGCATTCTATTCGAACATGACAAGTTTAAAAGAAATGAAGCATTCCATTGTATAGCAATAAGATGCCTGATTAGGAAATCATATCATATCATTATAAAACACCTTCATCGTAAAAATGCATTTTAATTATACCTTTTAAGGTATTTCAATAATAATATCTTTTTCTAAAGTTGTGAACAGGCAATTATTTTATACACATATCATATCATTATAAAGCACCTTCATCGTAAAAATGCATTTTAATTATACCTTTTAAGGTATTTCAATAATAATATCTTTTTCTAAAGTTGTGAACAGGCAAATATTTTATACACATACACATTAGCATTTATAATTTGTATTATGAGGGAGTGAATTTCATTGGTCAACAAGCACATGCAAGCATTTGTATATATATTTCTTTCATTAATATTCTGCAAATCATTTAATATATTTTCTATAATGGACATTGGGCAAGATAAAAACTTTAAATATGACAAGAAATGTCAGTTATTCATTTCAATGCTTCCAATAATTTGAAGAGGAGATTTAAGTTATAAGCAATTTGCAGCAATATTTATTTGGCTAATATCAATATCAATTGACGGGCTTGATTTAGAGGAACTGATTTTGTTAAATTTTAAAGATCTGGTTAGTTGAATATTAAGCAATGAATTCTACCACTCTTTTCAAGTTCCGCCAGCAAAATAGTAATTTTTGCTGTTGATACATGTTGTTCTTTCTAAATGAATAGCATCAGCATTTGGTATACAAAGTCTGCTTTTGCATCTCAAAAACTCATTCTTGTCAATCTCATTGTCCTCTATCTGGTCCGCTTTTAACAAATTTAATTTTTTTTGAAAACCAGAATCTTGAGTCGGTCCATTGTATATTCTATCTTTCAAAGTAGAATGAACTATTATCTTATTCAATATAATGTAACTTTTTTTAATGAAAGTGACTACTAATAATTTCTTCCTATCCACGTCTTTATTCATTCCCTACTAATTAAATAATTAGTTTTCACTGCTTGGCGTTTTTTTATTTAAAACCATCAATGATGTTTATACTTTCTGGATGATATAATATATTTTGATCATAATATTTAATGAGCCTATCTTAAATTTATTTTCTTTTATGTGAAGATACACTTTAATTTCTTGTGATTAACGATGACTTCATACTAACGTTTATAGAGAACGTATCTCTATATTTTCAGTGCAAATTCCATTACTGTAAATTTTATACTTGAGTTGAAATTTTTTTCTTATAATTCATTTGATACCTTGAAACATAAGCAACTACTTTGTAATGCTACATTAAGAGAACATAATCTCGAAATGACACATCATTATATATTTTATATTCTTTTGTATTTGATTAACACCGGTGTAGCCATTAGTAAATTCTTTAAATTCTGAATAATGTTCTCATAATGATCATCCTATTTAAATTTAACCATCTTTTGGGTAACAACATTGCATATAAGAAAATTCCTTGATAAACTTTATGTAATACCCTACTAGACTTAAAATAGATTTTACTTTTGTAATAGAAGTTTGGCATAACCAATCTATAATATGTTCCTTCTTATTTTATTCTATAGGTACCTTCACCGTTGATCCCCAAATGATAACGTTCTTTTGCCAGAATCTACATTCAGAAATTTATATAAATTTCATTCTTTTTTGGTACTTGCACTATATGTAGATGATGAGCTTGATTGGTATCATATTTTAAATAAATATGAATATTGTCTATGAATTCAATTACAAAGATATTCAAAAAATGGTCCAAAAGTTATGCTCATCAAGCCAATAGATATTACAGATGCATTTGTTAGTTTTAAAGCATCACCGCAAATCCAAAATGTCTGTACCTTATATAAATGCTATTTTGGCTGTCATAATTGATGATATTCAAATCTGAGTCAATTTTGGAGAGAATGGAAGGTTCTTTAAGCTGATCAAAATGATCATCAGTTCTTGATATTTGATATTTCTTCATAATAGTGAGCTTATACATTTCTTTACAGTCGATACACATTCTGAAACTTTTATCATTTTTATTTACATATAGTATTGAGACTCTCCAAAACGATATGCTAATGCTTGATAAAATTTTCTCTAACATTTCTTCTGGTCGACATTTTAATTTCAAAACATGTTTACTTTGTAACTCTTAATGGTGAGCTTTTTCAGTTCTTTACAATTAATGCTCATTCTGAAAGTTCCATCATTTTTTGTATAGATTGTGTTAAGACTGCCCAAGCTATCATACTAGGTCTGAAAACCTTTTAAATAATTTCTATAATTGACTTTTTAACTTCCACAATTCTTTAATTGCTATGGTATGGCATTCTTGCCATTCGATATAAGCTTGGTAATAAATTGAAAGTAAATACTCTCTCTCATCGGAAGTAACCCAGGTAAATCATTTAGAAGGACTTGTGATTATTCATTCACCACTGGGATATTCTTTAACCTTTTTTATCTCCTTTGTTACAACTTTTATTTAGCAAAAAGACCTTGATGACCACTATTCAACAGTTTAGAAGCTTTCAAAGATGGCATTATCATTGATGATAATATTTGATCTCCACAGAATTTGAATTTTCTTTCTCAAGAAAATTGAAGTTGGCTACTTTCTTATTATAATGAATTGTTACAAAATTTTTAAAAATCTAATACATCCCTAAGTTTGCATTGAATTTTAGGTGTTGTTTATCCACTGAAGTGATATTGATGTATTTCATCATTTGAGTGAGAGGATTCATAGCAATAGTAACATTTGATGTACTTCGCCTCCCTCCATATTTTTATGTATTAATTTCTCTTGGTTATCCATCTTCTTGAGATGTAAAAACATTATTACTGAATTAGAGTTTAACGGAATGTCTAACCAAATATCACAAGTCCGTTGTAAAATTTTCTCATCAATCATCCTAATTGCTTTTTATCATAAATTTTTTTTATAATGGCTCTTTCATTAAATTTGCTCACTAACAATACAGCTTAATATAACTTTTGCTCTAATGCCATTTTTATTATGACTAGGCTTGAAAACTTGGAATGCTAAATCAGGCATAAACAGTCAGACGTAAGTTTAAATATATCATTTAACAATAATGATAAGAGAAATATTTATAAAAAAATAATATTATTATCATCCTATGCATCAAAAGAGCCAATAATCCAACTTGGCATTCTGTTTGATCAAATTAAGATAGTCAATTCTGCTCACTTTTGGTATTCAGGTTCTGTTGATGTGATTTTTTTTTTTTTTTTTTTTGCGAAATTAGCAATAATAAAGTTGTTTAATTCACAACCAAGAGAAATTGAGTCTGTTTTGTTTGACATTGCATTCGCTATCCACCTTCTACATTTTATTCAACCGTATTTGAATCGGGAGCAAGTGTTGAGGTTAATAGACCAGAAGGCATTGGTGTTAAAGAGAGTGCTCGTGGATGTGAGCGCTACGAACTGGTAAGGATTAATAGGTTCAAGCTTTTGGAATCAATAGAGGAAATTCAAAATGATGCAAAATGATACGCTACATATTAGAAGATGCAAGCGTGGTAGAGTGCTGGCCGCATGCACAAGTGAGGGTGAATGTAAGCTTGAGAGACTTAAGGTGAGTGTGGAACGCCCATGCTGGACCTCCTAAGGGCAGGGTGATGTTGCAAGGGGAGAGAGTGTAGGAAAGGAAACTTAAACCTTTGGTATTTAGTTATATAATCTTTTTCGCTTTAGGATCTGAAAGCGGATCATAATATAGGATGTCTTTGCCTTGTCAGAAAAGACATTAGCAATATGCATTTCATTGCTTTGAGTTACAGCTATAACCTTTTATATTTTATTACCTTTATAGGTATTTACTGGTTTTTGACAGGTTTAATTAGGCTGTTTATTATTTTACTTTTGTAGGTCACATTACAATGTCATTATGAAATCAATTGCAGTTGGCGGAACATCTCTGAAACTTCCAACTGATGTATTCCAATCCGGGGACATGAGAGGGACCATAATTGATAGTGGAACAACCTTAGCTTATCTACCTGAAGAAGCTTTTAAACCATTGATGAATGCAGTATGTAGCCTTTCCTTATGTTTCTAAACAGGTGATTTTGGAATTTCTATCTGATAATTTTATTTATTCCTTCTAGATTTTTTCCTATCAGCCTGATTTGAGCTTCCAGAACATCCGAGAGTTTCTTTGCTTCCAATTTTCTGGAAGGTATACAGCTATTCTTGCAACTTGGACTCAGTCAAAGTTCAAGATTGCTGCTATCTAATATCATAATCTAAGAAAGTACTTTTTACCTTTTACTCTCAGTTAGTCGTTAAATCTGTTTCTTTTTTTTTTCCAGAAGCTACCATTGTTTCCATGTTTTTATGTAAATTTTTCCCTGCCTATGCAATTTATTATTGTTGTGTTTTTTATTCTCTTGTAACCAAGCACTCTTCACTTCTGTTTTGCTGATATTGAAATTTCAGAGCTAACATAATCATCTATTTTATGAATTCCAAATTTTCTTTCATTTTTCAACAATACTTTATTGTCACAGTAATGCTTCAATTATTTGGAGATGATCAGGGTAAATGCATATCGGAACTTTTGAAATAGCAATCAAGTATGTGCAGACATTGCACTGGAAATTTACTGATGTTGTAGTTGTGGGGAAGACTCAACAGGTAAATCGTTTAAGAACCCCACTCTCCTTGAAGCATCTGTGCTTAGAAGAATTCTCGCCTCATAGGATGGATAACTCGCCAATATTTCTGGGCCTAATCTTCCTTTTCGTTTGTTTGTTGCAATATGAATTCCAGTTGCCACTAATTGGCTGACTTTTCTTCTTCAAACTTTGCTAGAAGTAGCTCTCAGTTTTTGGACAACAAGAAATAATGCTCAGGAACCTTTTTTCCCCTTAACTTTGATATTATGAAGTGATGATGAATGGTTTGAGTTATTTTTTTGTGGGGACCTTGTACTTCTATCTATGCAATAGATTTATTGATTATATTAGGTAATTTTAATCTATGGAATCTTCTAATTACATAGTTTTATAATCAACTTATCTACATATCCTATTAAAATTATGATTTTGGCCTCAATAGATTTTTTTAATGAATGGAGCGAGATCCTCAAGAATTTATTTGATGTTATTTTTTCCATGGCTTTAGCGATCCTTCCGAATCATACTCCTAGGAATTTTCTGAGCTCCTAAATGGTTTTCTTTCAGTCTGCATACATGATTTGTACCAAAATATTAATTAAAACATCATGGTGGTTCTATTTAGGCTTCTTCATTTAATTTTTCATCTAGGAATGCATTTTTTACATATTAGAAGAACTAGTTGAGGATGGCTATCAAGGATAGAAGTATCTGAATGATTTTTAGCTTTTAGCGATTAGGGCAAATTTTTTTTATAATCAATTATATAGGTTTGAATGTAGCCTTTTGCAGCGAGTTAGCTTTAGAACTTTTAAGTGCTCCATTTGCATTGTATTTGATAGTGCAACATATACCAACTTACATTTAACTAATTTAATTTCTTAAATCATGTCTTTTTTTTAATATTTTATTCTCAAGTGCTTCTTAGATAGTTCTTGGAACCTTAATATTATTTATTTTTGTAAGAAAAGTTCTGTGGAAGGAGAAAATATTGGAAAATTAAATAAAATTGGCTAGTTAATGTTGGTTGCTTGTTCCATCTCCCACTCTTAAATTAACAAGAAGGCTAATCGATTGTTGGAATTGAATTTCAGAAGTAAACATCATGCCTTTTTTGCATGATTATTAATCTTGCATAAATTTGGATAGTTAAGCTTGCTTTGATTCAATGCTTGGCTTTTCCTTTCTTTTTGAGCATACTTGCAATAATGTTTTAGTTTCTTTATGTAGGATTTCATTAGGATTGTTGTCCGAACACTTTTATTTATAGGGAATTCTTGGGATTATTTGAAACTTACTGGTTTGATTTGGTGGTTTAGAGATTTTGATTAAGAAAATCAATGTTGTATTTATTCCAAAATATCTTTTGGAGATAATCTTGCTAACTAAATACTTACTTTTTAAATAAAGATAATATCTTGGGTGATAAAGAATTTTTTAGAATTGGGTTAGTTATATTTATGTTAGGCAAGTCTATTATGGAAGCTCCCAAGAAACTCCCAAATTTCCTAAATATTTCCACACTTCAATTGGGATATCATTAGGTCCTGTAGACTTTCCACCCTTGGTTTTTTTTAAAGCCTCATCAACTTCTTTTTTACTAACGCAAATGTAAAAATGAAACGTTTTATTATTATTGACGATATTAAGATCACTAAGGTCAATTGCATTTTCATAAACTTCATTAAAAAGTTTATCAAAATAACTCACCTACTGTTGACCTCATTTTCGGATGAGGTCGTCACTTCTATCCTTAGAGCCTAGGGTCTAGCTTTACGCTTCTCTTGTTTGGCCCTCTTAGAAGACTAGGACGGAACCCACACTATTTAGAAAATTCGAGCCACCTCGTCACTCCTTTGAGTTTCACATGGGCGGTCCGAAATCCTCGGCGTTGAGTTGATTAGGATCGACACATGAAACTCGAGTCGAGCTCCTACATTAATAGAAGCAGCCCCTAAGAAACCCCTTGGTGATCCGAACGCTCGATAATGCAACATTTTTTTGCACGCATCGCACCCCGCACAATTTTGGGTTAATTTGACTCGTCAGTCGGCAAACTCGTCCGGACAACCCCAGATGATGAAACAAACCGCGCTGACGCATTCGAAACGTCGACTTTAGCTAGGAAGGACACTCATATCTCTATAGTTTCGTGCGCGAGCGATTAGCACGAATATCGATGCACTTTTTCTAGCAATGCGCGTGCCCGGGCTCAGCCCAGATTCGACTCGGGTTTGATTCAGGTTGGACTCGGGCTGAACACAACTAGACACGAGCTCACCTGAATTTGAAATTCAAATTTCAAAATTCAAATGAATTATTTAATTTTTGTCTTAATACCTTCCATTTAATCCTCCCTTGCATTTGGAAACTATTTAATTCCTCGCCCAATTGATTCGAGTAACGACTAACTCTCCTGCTGCTTATTTCTTTCTTCCACTCGTCGCCCTTGCCGAATCTTCCTCCCCTGCCTTTCCCGAACATCAGCTTCTGTCCCGCTGGTCTTCCTCTGCCTTTCCTGAAAGCCTGCTCTCCCATTCGCCTCCTCCTTGCGCTGAAGTCCCCCGCTTGTTCTCTCCCGTCTCCCGCACCGAAGCCGCTTGCTCTCTCCTGTCTCCCGCACCGAAGCCGCAGAGCTCGATCCTGTTCCTCGTACGCTCCTCCGCGACTCGCCTTCTTCCCCTCTCTGCCGCACGCATCGAAGTCTCATCCTTCGCTTGCTCTCTCCCGTCTCCTGCACCGAAGCCGCAGAGCTCGTCCCGTCTCCCGTACGCTCCTCTACGACTCGCCTTCTTCCCCTATCTGCCTCATGTACCAAAGCCCTAGCCCCTCTTCTGCGAACAAATCCGGCGCTCGACCACTGCGAACAAGAAGGCTCGCCTCCTTTGCCCCCTCCTCGGATTCATTCGATCATCCCCTGCTCGACTCCCTCATCGCAGAAAGCTTCCCGCTCGCCTTCTGCCTTCCATGTTCGACCCCAGCTCCTCTTCTGCGAATAGAAGCGTCTGCCCGAACTCCCTCTTCTTCTTGCAGGAGAGGCTTCTGTTACCGTGTGATCTGATTCGTCGGTTCAGGTTGATCTCCTCGCTTAAACTTTTTTTTAATATAGATCTTTAATTGAAGCTATTGAATCTGTTGAAAGCTGGAAGGAAACTTTCTGAGGAATTGAATTAGTTATATTTATGTAGATTCAATTTGGTTTAAAGTTTTCACATGCATTCTTTCATCTATAAGATTTGATCTCATGACGGCTGAGCTTAATTTATACTATAAACACTTCATAATTTATTTACCTGTTTATATTTGTTATGTTAGTAGCTCTCATAATCATAGGGACTGATTCTTTTAGATCTCAAAATAGTTTTTTTTGCATTGAATCGTGTTAACCGAATTTGTCTTGGTTAAAAAGATGCAAGTATTAGTCTGATGCACAATTTTATTCGCACAATTTTATTCATTCAATTTTATTCATTTGACAACTTGATCACTGCTTTAAGGTGCTTTTATTGGTCGATCTTGAACAACTTAATCACTGTATATGTGCTGTTTGAGGCTGCTAATCACTATAGTGTTGTAGGAAGCTTAAAGATCGTTGTATATGTGTTGTTTGAGCTGCCAATCACTATAGAGTGCTTTAGGAGTGCTGCGAGGTGCTGGAATTAATGACTTGGAGTGCTATAAGTGCTGTAGGAGTGCTGCGAGATGCTGTAATTAATGATTTGGAATGCTATAAGTGCTGTAGGAGTGTTGTGAGGTGCTGGAATTAATGATTTGGAGTGCTATAAGCGCTGTAGGGTGTTGTCCAATGTTTCTAGTTGCTCCCTAGTGCCGTAGGAAGCTATAGGACCACTGTCCAATGCTTCTAGTTGCTGCCCAGTGTCGTAAGGAGCTGTAGGACCGCTGTCCAATGCTTCTAGTTGCTGCCCAATGTCGTAAAGAGCTATAGGACCGCTGTCCAATGCTTCTAGATGTTGCCTAGTACTGTAGGAAGCTGTAGGACCTCTGTCCAATGCTTCTAGTTGCTGTCTAATGTCGTAGGAAGCTGTAAGATCGTTGTCCAATGCTTCTAGTTGCTGCACAGTGTCGTAGGAAGCTGTAGGACCACTGTCCAATGTTTCTAGTTGCTGCTTAGTGTCATAGGAAACTGTAGGACCGTTGTCAAATGCTTCTAGTTACTGCCCAGTGTCGTAGGAAGTTGTAAGATTGCTGTCCAATGCTTCTAGTTGCTGCACAGTGTCATAGGAATGCTGTAGAGTGCTGCCCAATGCTCCTAACCGCTGTCTGATGTCGTAGGAAGCCACCTAAGAGCTGTTTACCACAAATTGGGTTCATACGAAGCCACCTAGTAGCTGTCCACCACCATTTGGGTCCATAGGTAGTCACCTAGTAGCTGTCCACCATCGTTTGGAAGCCATCTAGTTGCTGCCCAACTTTGTTCGGGTTCGTAGGAAGTCACATAGGTGCTGCCCATTACTATTTGGGTTCATAGGAACTCATACAAGCGTTATTCAAAATTCCTAGCTGTTGTTTGAAGTCATAGGATCACCATACACACTTGCTA